TTTTTTTTTACATATTATATAATTTAAACTTTAAATTTGTTTAGATCTTTTACTTCTAAAAAATAAATTATTTAACTTTTAAAAGTTATATAATACACCTTTATATAAACTTTAGGAAAAAAATTTAAATTAAAATGGCCTAATCAATAAATTTATTTAAATATCATTAACATATTTTTTATATAATTTAATATTTAAAATTTTTAATTATTATTCTTAATATTTTAATTATCACCGCGTATTAATTTTCCTGGTACCGACTTTAAAGTAAAAACGAAAGTATGTTTTACCGTGTGTGACTCCAGGGAACTGCAGAGCGCAGACTGGGATTATTCTTTTGTTTTATATAAATATGGTTTTTCATTTTTCATATGTATACATATAGTACCATATTCTTTTGTTTCCACTACATAATATTTGGATATGATTGTAGCAAATAATTTGATGATGAATTTATTGGAGGAAAAAATTTGAAAATGGAAGTTGGGTTCTAATCTCATTAAGGCTTCGGTTGAGGCTTCTGAGTGTTTCAATGTGAGGTTCATCTTCTTCAACTGGAATTATTTTAGCAAAGCTTCCTTCTTCAAGATAATCTACCACTCGGTTTGCAGCTTCGAGCCCTGTGACATAAGATTTCTCCTGTTCAAAGATTCAAGGAAACAAATTAAGAGAATGTATATATATGTATTACCATACATTATCTGTCATCGGTGAAGGAAATAAATTAGGCTCAGAGGTACCTGTGACCATGAACCATGCCTGTTAACAATCCAGTCTCCAGCCATAAAAAGATTTGGGAATGATGTAGACACGCGCATCATGTACTTGTATGAACCTTTGAACAAGAATGGAAGATTGTAGGTAATCTTAGTTATGAATGGAAGATAGTAGTCAATGGCAGACTGTTAGAAACACACCTGGAAAAAAGTGGGTCAAGGATTTCGGAAACCTTCTGATTTCTTTGTCCACAACATTAGCACTCTCGAAGTCCTTTATGCACTTTGAAAGATATAACATCACCTTTTCAACTATAGCCTCATCGTTCAACAACAACAACTCACTGGAATGATACTGCAAGATAGGATATACTGAGGAGTCAGAAGAATAATATGAAGTAGTTCCAAAAGTCCTTCACTGCATTGAGGGAAAAAAAAAAGGAGGGGGGCGGGAGGACCATGCAATACTCACAAAATCAGCTTCTACTATGGTTGCTGGATTATCTTGATGCTCATCATGAATTGCATTCAAGTCAAAGAATGTCCACCCGCATAGATCATCAAATCCAGAGCAAGCATTGCTTGCATTTGGGATGACGACCTGATATATTTTCACAAGAAGGATAAGTACAGTATGAGGAAGCTGTGAATCTAAAACAACTAGACAGGGGATTGACTAAATCTTCATACTAGTTCCACAAAACCTATAGAAGCTATATACACTCTGTTTGAAGCATGGCTTATATGTAGCACAAGCAGGATCTGTTTGTGATTTCATTTCAACAGGTAGATAGTTTTCAAGCTGTCTGAATCTGATCAGATGACAGATACAGTACTACGATTCTCATTTCTCATTGTTCCACACCATTATATGGTTCTTACGAGTTTGGCCAACTGCTATATCTATAAGACTGAAAATTCACTGTCTCACCGCCACATCTGGATAACCACACAAAGAGGAGAAAGTGTCTTTGCCCATACTATGTGTTTGTATGCATGCTTAAGTGACACCTGGACAGGGGTGCATAAAAGAAAGGATAAGAAGATTTTTCTAGAATAGTACCTTCCTATCCATTTGCAGCTTGACAGTTACAACATCTATGCCAGCCAAGTTCAGAACTTTCAGGAACTCTTCTCTTGCACACAGTGCTGCACTACACAGGATTCAATAAAAATTAGGTTGGAAAAACAAAGATAATTGAAGCTTCAAGGCTACTTAATGTTTAGAGCTAAATACAAAATAATAAACCTCTTCTTGATAATTTCCTGAAGTCTGAAGACGCCAATACCCAAGATAACTGCATCAGCACTATAGGTGTCTTTGTCACAAACTACTTCTGTTATGCAACCTGTTTCATCATTCAAGATGAAATCAGTCACAATTCCACCATCCAAGAATTCACAGCCTTTAGCCTTCATGGAGTCCATCCATGGCTGAAAAATCTTTTCTCTAGTGGTCCCACCACAATATGCCATATCAAAATGTTTCTGTTACCATCCACAAATATACAAATTTGTAGTCCAATTTAAGTGAAAAGCAGATACATTATAACAAAGCCATATAATAGGAAGAGGTGTGTTATTTTGATAAGGAATTCCATCCGTCGAACCTGGTGAGCAAGGATGAAATAGTATAGCAGTGCAAGGGTTGCAGCTGCACTGCATTGCTCTGCTGGGGCAAACAGACCCACTTGAAGCAGTGGACCAAAAATATCATGATAAAGCCTTTCTGAACAGCCAAACTGTTTAAGAAGCTCCCTTGCAGTAACTAGCAGTTAAACCTCTGAATAAGGCACTTGAAAAGTTCATCTTTGATTTATTTAATGCCATTAACAACTAATCATCCAACAGCAGAATTCAAGGAATATATATGTGGGGGTGCTTACTTGAATCGTATTTTCTCCAGGCAACATCAGTGTTGTCAAAGTCAATAACTAAAAAAAAAAAAAAAGATGCAAAAGTTAATGGGGTGACAGAGAAAAACTAGAAAGCAAAAGCAAATGAAAGATTACCAAAATAATTCTTGGATAGCAGCTAGGAGATCGTAAGATATCTAACATAAGCAGAAGCCAGATGATACATGAAAATTTAGAAGGATAAGATTCACAGGCAACATATTGTACAAGAGGAAAAAAAAAATTGTCCAAGGATAATTTAGCAAAACCAATTATGACTGTTCTTCTCATATTTCAGCCATGATATGATGAAAAAAATATGTACCAATGAAGAATTGTTGTTAAAAAGATAATAGTAGTCATTAATCCTCGTAGCAAAGCCTTATAACTGTCAAAAGAAAATGCATTGCTTAACTTGCCTGCAGATATTAATGGAAGTGCAGTCAACCTGTCCACTAAAGGGATCCGAGCAAACTGCAAATAATGTGGAAAAGTAATCAAAGTTCACAGCTTCAGAAAGAAGAAAGGGGATGCAACTCAATACATACTTGAGTATAGAAAAATGTTCCGAATGGAGTTGGCCATTGAGGGAGGTCCTGGAATACTGGAAACTCAACCTGCAATATGGCCCTGGATCCATTGAGTCCTTAAGTAGCCATAAAACTGAAGCTTGACAAAATTTACCAAGAAGTTGAATTTTTTCAGTTTCTCAATTCCATTAGGAAAATCATTAAGACTCTAAACAGATACCAGGACACCTGTATTTGAACAAAAAAGGAAACCAAGCTACCTCCAATCCAGCTTCTGAATACTGCGCTGATCTTGTCCAGTTTGTGAAAGGCTTGATACCAAGCTCATCAACTAGGCTAAATATATTTCGATAAGGATACCAAAAACCTTCCAAAAGAAAAGTTCAGAAAGGAATTCAAGCTTCAATCCTGAATCAAACCATCTATCCAACAAGAAATTAGCTTAAATTACCTTGGATACCAACATTGTCCGGACTGCCAAGACCATTCCCGCCATCAAGAACAGTAACATCAAACCCCTGCAATCAAAACCAAGCAAACCCGCTTCAATTGAACTCAAAAAGTTTCTATTTTTAAGAATAATTCAACACATTACATGAAAAACCAAATTCAACCAAGCAAAGCTCGACCAAGATAAAGAATCATAAACATGGAGGCACCTGATTGCAAAGGTGATGAGCAGCACCGAGGCCAGCCCAGCCGGAGCCAACAACGACTACCTTTTTCTTCCTGTTGTTGCTGCCGCCGTCATCCTGAGCTTGTGCAGAGTCAGCTCTGCAACAAAATCCGCCTCTTTTAGTGTATCCCCTTGCAAGAAATGGCGGCGCAAAAGTCCCAGCCACAGACAACATTTTCCTCAAGATTTTCATTTACAATAGAATAAATAAAATAAATAGACGTAAAATGTTTCTCAAAAATTTTTTTTTTAATAAAAAAGCATGATAATCATGATTGACCAGACAATCGGACGGTTGGCAGCTACGGGCAACTTACGCCATATCGTGAAGCTAAAAATTCCGTTCCTTGATTAATCTCGCTAGACATTCTAGTCCATAAATAAACAAACAATCAAGTTTTCCCTTCCCCAGAAATGGCTGCAGCCACGCTCTCCGTCCGGCCAAACCGCCTGACTCCGGGTTCACCCATCACCATCCCGCCGGTCCAATTTCCAAACCAAGTTCACGCCGCCGTAAAACCCACGAGAAGGGAGCAGTGGAGGGGCGCAATTGGGCCCCGCCGGCGAATATTGGCAGGCGCCACCAGAGCTGGCTCGCAAGCGGACGATTCGGCGCCGTTCGATATGTCGGTGGAGAACGCCCTTAAGCTTCTCGGAGTCTCCGAGGGAGCATCTTTTGATGATATCATGCGTGCTAAGAAATCCATAATTGCATCTTGTAAGGATGACCAGGAAGCTATTGCCCAGGTCATTCATCGTTGTCCCTCTCTGCGAGTTTTTCTGTTTTCGGTTCGAACTGCAATTTGGATAAATGTTGAGGTTTTGCTTCTGACTACTGTGCTAACTAGCTTGTTTTTGTCAAATTTGGGGGCTTTTCTTCTTATTTTATGCAAAATTTTCCCTAATGTATTGTATTTAGGCAGTTTAAGCTGACAAATGTTGAAATGTTTTTTGTGATGCTTATGAATAGTGAAGTTAAGCTTATAATAGTGTTGAAGTATTCAGCTTTAGCACTGGGCTATTGCTTCTGTCCTTGTTTTATCCTTTTTGGATTTAACTTAGCTTAGCTTCCTGGACTGTTCTTAGAGAACCAGGCTCTCCCTCACTAAAATGTTCATAAATTATGAAAATTTAGTTTGTTGGTAATTGGGTTTGATTCCGGTTTGCAAAAAATTGTTAAAGTTTCCTCCTTGTTGTTACACAAAACTGGTAGTTGCCCCGGATACAAGATCTCTGCTTTTGGTAATGAAATTTTATACATGATATTAGCTCTGTTTCTTGTTCTTATCATCTATGCCTTCATCCTACAGCAATATCTTTAATGCAGTTCCCATGTTAAAATTAACATTTAATTCTGATCTTTCTATATTATGACTGGGTAGTGTTGGTTTCTAGGTCAGTGTTAAACTTATGTTCTCTAATTATTGTCACAATCATTTGTTTGTCATCAAGCAAATGCAAATCTGACCGTTAGGAGATTATGGCAGACTTCTGTTTTCTGATAGTTTTTGCGATATTCTTTTTAAGGTTGAGGCAGCATATGACATGTTGCTTATGCGGAGCTTAACTCAACGCCGGGCAGGAAAAGTTGTAGACAGAAGCATCAGATATGCAGATGTAAAACCTGTTAATGCTCCTGGGATGATGAGATCAATGCCTCGCTGGGCACAGACTACTTTAAAAAGCTCACCCATTTCAATTGAAGCACCAGCAACAAGCGATCTGGGCTTACAGGTAGGAGTATATGGAGCCCTGATGGTTTTGACTTATGCAAATGGAGTTTCTACATCCCCTGGAATGTCTTATGCTGGGCCTGATGTTCCTGGGCTGATCTTAGCGGGTAGCTTTGGAGTTTCCTTGTACTTCATGACCAGAAAAAATGTGAAGTTAGGTAAGTAGTTTTATGGTGTAGGTCATTATCTTTGATTGTTCTTGGCAATTTTATTCCTTTGAAGGGATGCTCAAAAGAAATTTGAGATTACATGGAATTCTACATAGAAATACTATTTTACCTCTTTTGGTGTTTGACAATGAAAAGTGCATGACACAACTAATTTCAGTACAAATATTTGATTGTTTGATCTTAACCTGTTTAAGACAGGTGAAATTAGCATTCCTAATAAGTGATTTAGTTAAATTTTTAGCCATCTATGTAGGACTAAAAGTTAATGACATATGTTAGAACTGGTGTGCATTCCTTCACATGTAAAGTAAGGGTTCCAAACATGGAACTATAGTTCTGATATTGCAGACAGCTTAGACTTGTGTTTCTTTGCATTATAGTAGGATCTGTCACGTTTCTATGTTTATTTCTCTCCCTTACCGATGGAAAAACCAGTCTGTGCTATTTATTTATTTAAAAAAAAAAGGGCCAATAACTTATTACCTATTAGTAATGTCATTCATTTCGATGTTAGATTCTAGCAACATGATGTGCAGGGGAGGTTGAGATGGCTTTGGGTTGCCTCCCATTGAAGGAAGAGGATATTTTTTATGTCAAAGCTTGCCAAGACTTTAGAGTTTAGATTCCTATATTCTCTACTGTCATTTTTGTTTGACTCACCTTGGATCACCATATCTGAAGTGACTTGCATTCGTTTCAGGGAAAGCAACTGTGATAACCATAGGAGGCCTTGTGGCAGGAGCAGTGGTGGGATCAGCGGTTGAAAACTGGTTGCAGGTAGACATTGTCCCATTTCTTGGCATACATTCTCCTGCTGCGGTAATTACTGAATTCATACTCTTCTCTCAGTTCCTAGTCTCATTGTATCTAAGGTAGGGTGACTAGATACTTTTATTTCTTATGTACATTGTAAAAACCTGTAATTATTCGTTGGCATGAGCATACATGAGCTTTTTTAGGATGTGTATCATTGCATATTGTACAAAACTACAAATAAAAATTGTGCTTCTGGTTCTGTTTGATTTATGTCAATAAAGGCATCCAATCTAAAATCAATTGTCCATAGATGGAGAGGTACATTTTGCTTCCCACTACCATGCAAAACCACACTAAACAATTAGCAATTTCATCTTAACAAAAACCACTCTAAAACACAATTAAATTTGTCTCAGCGAGCTGCTTCGACATGAAGTAATAATATACAGGTAGACCCTAAACCCTTGAATCCTCATCAAGTTTCCAGTGTCATCTACTGCCATTTTCTTCAACCGGGGAGCTTTCTATGTATGACAAGTTCTTTTCAGCATTCTCACTTTGAGTGACAATGTCATTGTACATCTTTTGAGAAGCCTTAGAGAACTCCACCAAGGACTCGAAAACAGAAGAAAATCCTGTTTGAATTCCACTCAATGTGATTCTTTGTGTTTCCTGCACGTAGTTGTGGTGTTTTTCCTTTTCTACATCCAGCCTCTTTCTGAACATGTCCAAGTGATCCTTCTTCTCTGTCAAACATCCGTTCCGGTTATCCATCTCTGTCTCGGATCTATGTTCAATGACCCTGGACTCAAGAAACTTTGTCTCCGCCTTCTGGAATGCCAGAGTCCTTCTGTCAAGCTCCTTCGCCATACTATCAACTTTCCTCTTTTGTCGCTGCTCCTCTCCTTGCTGAGTCCACAGAGCCCTAACATCCTTAGAAAAGCTTTTCAATGCAGAGGATACTGCTTTATCCGGTAACTTATCCACAGATGATAACCAATTGTAGCAGATCACAAGCAAAGGTGGCCCGTTAACTCGAAATGGCGCAGCTGAACTCCTCTTCCTGGAATGAGATTCGACTTCCGGGCCTATGAACTTGGTTAACCAATCATGGAGAGTTTTAACATAAGCCCTTTGAGCTGCAACATAGTCAGTAAAGCAACTGCGCCAGTTTTGAAGCTCAGCCTCGAGCTGAAGGGTAGCAAGACGGGGAAAATCATTGCAAAATTTTCCATATGCGGGGCAGGCAAAAGATTTTACTTGAAAGAGAATTTTGTTCTGTGTTTCATGAGATTCCAGCATAACTTTCCAGGTCTGCATTAGGCTGCACAATAAAAGGCAGAATGTAAAACAAGAAATAGAATGAAATTGAAGCAAAAGTATGCCTGCTTTCCCATGATCTTCACCTACCCTTTTAATAGCTCAACAATTTGAGGTTGCAGTTCTTCGTCTCTTAGTTTCTGAATTCTCTTCGAGATAGACTCGGCGCTACTGATTGCAACCAAGATCCTAGCATATAAATCTTTCACTGCAGCTCTAGTTTTGTCCATGGTTAGTTCGTCATATCCTTTAACATCCTCGTCCCCCAACCTCGAACATTTTCTCTCATAAATTCTCCTTATGCTGTCTCCAGTCTATTATGGTGTATCATGTCAAATGCCATACTCAATCAGATCAGTAAAAGAATAGCATTACCAGTTACAATGTTATTTGCAAAAACCTGAACCGAGAGTGCTGTTATTTACCTTAACCTCTTCATAAAGCTTCTTCTCCCAAGCATACAATCTCCCTAGAGTTAGCGAATGGCTTCCTGAATCCATTCCTCCATAATCTTCAAAAAGATCATTCTTGAATTCTATCCATGTTGAAGAACTTTTGGAACTGGATGCCACAAGGCTCTTGCATGCTGGCGACTTAGATGAAGTAGACCGGTGCCATGTAATAGCTTGGATGACCTTTGTCGAATTCGCTGCAATTGCACCACCAAATACCCAGGAGATTACATGGAAATTGATGCTGAAAATAAGAAAAACGCAGAAGTAAATACCCACCTTTGATTTCCTCCAACCCAGATTGCAGTTGAACCATATTGGCTTCAAGCATTCTTGAGACATCCTTGCCAGAATCATAAGCCCTAACAAAATGGTCTTCAATATCCTTCAGTGCTTCCAAAAGTTCCCTTCCTTTTTCTGGGCTTTCCATCACTGAAAATCCCTTCTGCTCTCCTTGGCTCATATTACCCCCATCCACTACCTTCTCCAGACCCACCTCACACTCTTCATGCCGCTCATCACCATGTTCTTCAACAAAGACTACCTTTTTTTCTTCCTTTTTGTTATCTCCTTCCTCCTCTAGCTCTGGAATCCCTTCCTGTTCCCTCAGCACCCTCAAATCATCATCACAAGTCCTGCTGTACCCGCTGATGACTTCAGGTCTCATAACGTCAAATGGGTTGAAGAAATCCCACCCAAAATCTCTCTGTGGTGATGGCATTGGTGGTGGCATTTGCATATAAAAGTACCCACCACAAGGCTGTTCTTCTCTCACCTCTTCCTCTTTGCTCTCTGGCTCTGAAGAATAATAGGAGGATGTTGAAGAATCACAAGACTCACAAGTAATGGCTTCATGCGTAGACTCAGATGGCCTCTGTTGCAGGAACATTGGGTTGGTCATCACCTTTTGTTCTGTGGGTGGGGGTGGACAGGGTGGAGGGAAAGTGATGAGAAATGGTGAAGAGGGTGAGGAATGGCGAGCCACAAAGAGTTTAATGGCAGCTGCTACTGCACACAGAGCTTGACAGTACTTGCAATGTGCCTCTGCAAGTGCATATCTTCTCTCCACTACCAGCTTTATCAGGCGTTTTCTTTCTCTGCAAACAGACACAACTTCTTCTTCCTCCTCTAGTTTAGAAGCCACACATCCCATCTCTGGCTAAAGCTGGAGTTTTTTGGACTTCAGCAGGCGTGATGGTAGCTACTTTTGAAGAATTGGGTAGAAGGTAAAGTCAGAAAGGTGGTTTTTTGGAGGAATCTGGGTACTCTTTTTATGAGAAAAAGGAAGTGGGTTCTTCCAAAATGACAAATTTGTTAGATTTTAGAAGGGTTTAAGAGGACAAAGGAGCAAAAACACAACTTTCAGAGTAGTGGCAAGTGCCTCATATTTTGAAAGAGAAACTTTGTTTTTGAGTTTCCCAATTCATTTCTTGGCTAAAAACACAGGGACACAAATTTCTCCAAAGGGTGTTCTTTTTCTTTCCCTTTTCTTTTGAGCCAAAAAAAGGAAGACGTGATTTATGCTCCTTTAAAGCATGATTGTCTTGCGATTAGTAGATGAATTAAACGGAGGAAAAACAGAGGAAAACAGAGCAATGGAGGACAAAGTAAAGGCGAGGTGGTCAGTAAAGAGAAGCTTGGGGCTCGAGAAAGAGAGATACACAGAGCGTTCTTGTGTAGGGTATTTCTGTAGTTTTATTATTATCTTTTTTTTTTCTTTTTCTTTTTTTTGTAAATGGTATTTTTGTAGTCTACATATACATAGTCCATATCTTTTTTTGTGCTTAGGAAAGAAAATTGAACTAAAGCCAAAAAAATAAGTTTGTTAATCCATTTCGGATAACATGACAGAGCACCCAATTGCAAAAACACACGACATATTATATTGGGGTTATTTTTATATTTTATTTAATAATTTATGTTATGTAATTTGATATAATTTAAATTGTGTAACAACAGTTCAAACATATAATTTTCACACCTTGATCCAACTAATTCTATGATGTAATGTGATAAATTTGGCACCCATGATAGAAGCAGAAGGAGCAAATGGGCAGTTTTGTGAGTGAAAAGAGGAGTCAAACCTACAGTAGTTATTTTATTTAGTGGAAACCAGATGATGACCACATAGCTGCAAAACTGAGAGAGAGAAAAACAGAGAGAGAGAGAGAGGCATTGTCTTATCCTTGGAGGAATCCTCAGTTTTTTTTCTTTAATCTCTTCTCACTTCATGCCTTGTAATGATGGGGGTATAATTGTGTTGCCAAACATGTGTTTAGTTGGGGGATTTAAGGGAAACACATGTCATAATTGTCATTGTCTGTAGTGTTGTGGACAAATCTATCTCATTGAAGATGCCTCTCTTTCTCCCTCTTTTAGATTTGAGCAATTTCACTAGATTTTGATAGGATTTGTGGAGATTTTTCTTTGGAAAGGAAGGTTCTTGTTCTTGTTTTGATCCATTTATGAATCATGTAGTAAGCAGTCGTTACCATTACTGAGTACTGACTATCCACATGATATTGCAGGTTATCACAAGCCTCGGCATTATTTCTGCTCCTCTTTTTCTCTCTCCTCTTTTTCCTTCAAGAAAATGGTTCCATGTATTAAAATTGTTTTTGGCCCAGTTCGGGTAATTTTAATGTCAATTTGATCATGCAATGGTAAAAAATATCTTTAATTATCATGTATTTTTGGGTTTTTATACTGGGATGGTACTATAAGAATAATTTTTTAATATCATTTTTTGATATAATTTTTATATGTAATTAAATAAGTGAATGTATTTAATATTATTAGTCTCGTATGAATTAAAAAAATTAATTACTTAAATAACACATCAAATTGTATTAAAAATGATATAAAAAAATTATCTTAAAATTATTTCTCTCTTATACCCCAAATAACTCCAGAAATTTAAAAAATAAAAAATCCCTTATTGATTCTAAGCTACTGATGATCATTAAAGATGTTCTTGAATTCCATATTCAACTAATATTAAAATTACCTCGACTTTTAAACCCGCTTTCCTTCTTTAAAACCCTAATAAACATTTTTATTTTCAATTTTCAATGGTCAAATATGATGTCTGGAATTATGGAAAAGTTTGTCCTTTTTTTCCTTGTTTAACAAAAGGAAACATAAAATAGTGCTGAAAATGCAGCAAGGATCTAGGGAAGGCCTCAAAGTTAGCAGAGTTTGAACCGTTGAAGAATCAAATCTCAACGAGTTCCACATTTCAAAGTCAAAATGGTGGTAGCTAAACTGAACACCAAATAAATACTATATATATCCGCCAATAAAAAAAATTGCTTTGTTTTTGTAATGGTATTAGTTGCAGAATGTTGAAGAAGAACCATTAGCAGCATTGAGGTACGTGCCTTGGTCTCTTAGGTTGGAAAAAACTCGAAATTGTGGCAAGTTAAAGTGTTAAACGAACTCCACCATGCAGTTCAGTGGCCTTACTCCTCAGTAAGAAAGGGATGACCCTCAACTTTATCTGAGAATCGAATCTTCAATTTATAACAAATAATTAATCTAACTTATTAACCATTATCCTTCTAAAAAAAAGAGTTAAAGTGATAAACAAAACATTAGCAGACTTTTTATGGGAAAGCGAGAATATGCCTGACCTTGTCTGACGAATATAACCAGAAAGACCTCTTTCTCACCTTGGAAGTTGGAAGTTGGAACTCCCCTCCTTCCTCTCTTTTTCAATAAAATAACGGACTAAATATCCCCATTTTAATCTCCCCAATAAACATGTACGATTCTTCCATTTGAATATGCAACTATACATACATGCATGGAGGAATGAATATGGCCCCAACAAGGATAGCTGTTTCTTATTTCCAGCCCAGTACTGCTGTCTTCCATCCTGAATTGCATAAAACTTTACCTTCTCTTCATGTTTGCAGCAGCATCAGTTGAATGTAATATATGAATGAGAGAAAGCAACAAGAACAGAAAAATGAAAATCAGAAGATTTTGGCACTAAAAAAGTCAAAGGGACAATGACACAAAAAGAAAAACAAAGGGTGTGAATAACTATAATAATTGTCGCCTTATACTCTCCTCTCAATGAAATTATCAGTACCAACTTTCACAGTGGAGATTAAAGAATCAAAGGCTTGCTCCTCTTTATCATAAGCTTCCGGAAGCTATCGTGTATTCACATTGATACGAGAATGATACAACAAAGACAGCATGGGAAGGGATACAGATTCTTCAGGCATTACCGGCTTCTGTTGGTAGAGTGCATGGAGCTAGCGCATTGGAGGGCAAGTTGACTCCACCTCCTCTAATGGATAGATTAGGGAACTTGACTGAGCTAGCCCTGCTCACCAGGTTTGAGTCGAGAAACACCACGATTACTGTGATATCATCGTGGAAGTGCCGGCGAACACCACGGTCGATCTTCTTCAAGTCGGAATACCTCATCTCTCTCTTCTTTGCTGCTTCTTGTAGAGCAGCTTTTACTAGCCTCCTTGCACTTCCCTGCATCATGGAACACGAACAAAAGTGAGACATCTCTTCTCATACTTTTATTTCCTGTTTTGGAATGAAAATTCATTTTGGACACCAATAGAATAACAAACCAAAAGCCATATTGCTATAAAAAGAGATGTTTTGAAAGCGGAAACCATTTCCTACACAGAGTAAGTAGCCAATACAAATACATCCCAGAGTTGAAAAAAGAAGCTCATAGGATGTATATTTTATGGTGATGATCCCGGTGCTTAAAAGAAAGTATAATTTACATATGCAATGAGCATAATAGAAACAAATTTAACATATGTGATAGTTATTGAATCAACAAAATACGGTGAGTTTCAGGCTTTCCAGGGTGTATTTGATTGCAAAACAGGAAAAGTTGACAGTGTGTCACCCTTTATTTGCAGTCCATGCTGCTTTGTTACCATGAATGGATTCTAATTTACTTCTAGGCATTGGCAACTCGAAGTTACCATTCAAGCAAATTGACATAACCAGGTTTCAAATGGTACAAGTGTTTCGTCACCAAGAAAGTATGCTCAAATGAGCAAAACAACTCAAGCACTTTTATGACAAACTGTATGTAGGCAAAATCAAACTTCTTAACTGAAACTCTCTAAACGGATGGCAGCCCCATGTTAGAAAAGAGGTATTCTCAAAAACAGTTCACCACAAGTTAAAAAAAAAATGTCGGTTTGGGACTTACACTGTGTGGGTGATTTTGAACTATATCAACGGCATCCTGATTAGTTAGGTGCTCCCAGAGTCCATCAGATGCAAATATGATGAACTGATCATGTGGCTGCAGTTGGTGAACTGATATTGATGGTTCTGAGCTCAATATTGGCCTTTTGAAAGGCTCACGTAGGCGAAACTTGGCATATAAAGGCTCCCTATTGAACTCAGCCCTTTTCAAATACACATCTCCTATAGATCTAGAAACCTGAAAGGTTAACAATTTAAATCATTAGCAATCAAACTCAGAAGGAGGCAGAAGGACATACCATACCAAGACATGTTAAGCAAAGTCCTAAGCTCCTTCAAAAACAAAACTAGTTCATTTGCACAACACCTCAATTCTATCAGTCATGTAATATTCGTCGCATATGTTGATAAAACTTTCTAAAATAAGCTCCTTCAAAAACAAAACTAGTTCATTTGTACAACACCTCAATTCTATCAGTCATGTAATGTTAGTTGCCATTAGAAGCTATGAGAAAGGAATTTCATTTCCTTTTTTTACAGCATTTTGTCTGTTTTGAATCCTAAGGTGGCTCTAATACGGTAAAATCAAGTAATGGACCTACATGTAGCTGCAATGCTCCCAAAGTATGTGCAATGATTAACTCCTGTTCACCAACCCCTCTGGGGGGACAGCAATGTCCACTTCCTATCTGTCAAGGGAGGAATGTATGTGCGTATGCACATATTTATGGACATGAATGTATTTCTTCAAATCCTATTAAGTCATAACAACAGATGCATAACTAGGCTTCAGGAAAAACCTTGCAGAACCACGCATTGGAATGATATTGAAAACTTCTAAGCCATTGCTAAAGGTATTGCCATAACATCATTCTAATCTGCCCTATCATGACACTACTTCCCCATCCTGATGAAAAAAAGGAAGAGAAAGAAGAAAAGAACTAACTTATTTTGAACTTAACTTCCTTATATGATATAATGGATTACATGGCCATTTCAGTATACTTTGAAATAAAGACCATCCATGCTAAAAAGCATCTTGGGGACTAAAACTATCTAGTTGCATAACCAGCTCCAAGAACATTAAAGTACTGGTGCTCATCTAATTTTCAAAAATGAGTCCCACATTCCCTGCCTATTGTTTCTCTCATAGCACTTAGTGCAGAAATCAAACAAGGGTAAACAACATTCTCTAACCTTCTCAACTTTTAAACAAACTGGAAACTCGGTTGGTCTATTTGTACATTGCACAACAAAGTTTCATGGGAAATGATACTCATTGCATATCTAACTGGATAGTATGGATGCAATGAATGGTCATTCTCATTGTTTTTATTTATTTCTGATCTATTAATTCAACTCATGACAGCAATGCATGAGAAGAAGACCTAGGGTCTTCATCACACTGAGCCTAGTTGCAAAGTAACTATTAGATATACGACTTACCTGTATGAGACCCTTTACTCTCCATACATTGTGTTTTAGAACTACAATTTGTGAGTCATCTGGATGCAATGACTGCAGCTCCTGTCTTACAGACTCAATACATGCATTATGTTCAGCTGATAGCTGAATGGCCAGAACCTCCCCTGTTGCCTTCACAACTCTCCCCAAAACAGCACGGGAATCACCAAGGTTGGCAACATAAAGAGTTTCACCACAGACAACACCAGCCAAGCAGCATGATCCAACAGCTGCAATTTGTGGTCTTGTAGGCCATTGTCTAGTAACAAGGGAGAAAAACCCCTCTTCTGTTGCTTGATATGCTTTCCGTATCACATCAATTGACATTGCCTGCTGCTCTGAAGTAAACCCTGAACATAACAACACATTACAGAACAGTATACCGTCTCCAACTTAAAATAAATAAATAAACGAACTAGATTTACAAATGCACAAAATTACACGGAGAGATAAAGCATTTTTGAGTTTGTAATCCTATTGCTTCTTTCAGCAGTCATACAATGCAGTTGAGCTACAAACAAAATAATAGCATGTTATTCATGAACCTATAACCTGGTAGCTCAGCTTAGCATACCCATAAAGTAGTTACAAGAGGCCAGAAGGGCATGAAACAAGTCACTTTGAATCATTCAAAATCCAGCCTATCCAGAACCAGTTCTCCACTCTAAATGTTCTTTTCTTCAAGTTGCTCAGCAACCAAATAAAAGACTTGAAAAAACTTGAAACATACAAACAAATGCACAAACAAATGATTAAAAACTTCCAGCAAAGGCAATAGTAACATACTCTTGAGATGTTGAAAGAGGAGATCATTGACGTAGCGAGAAGTCTCTGGCCCACCATGCCCATCATATACGCCAACAAAAGTACCATATGGACCTGACTCGTGTAAACCCAAAGAACCAGACTCAATCTGGCTCTGATCCTCAAGTAAATTGTTGGCCTGAACCACAGCCATGGAGAATTCACCGTTGAAGTGTTGGCCTAAGTCTTTGTACCATAAGAGTCCATCCTGACGACCTACAGCATCTGAGCTGGTGTGAGCATTTCGGTCGGGCCCTGGCCGAAAACAGGCCCTCAAAAAGTTCATCAACCCAGATAGCATCCCTCATCTCATCCAAACCCACCAAGGGCTCAACATCTAACAAGAATTCAATACAACTTTGACTAAAAAACCCCAATTTGTGAACTGTATCTTCCTTGATTCCCGAAGAACTATACACTACAACAACATCAACAACAAAATGCACAAAAAATGATTAGTAATAAGGCCATGTCTTGTCTTTATCCAGAACAACTTAACCAAGAACATGAATTCTTGTGTCAGTATCTCACCAAGAGAATAAGTATATCCCACAACAAAATCAACATGTTACAAAATCAGAAACAGAGTACTAGAATTGATAAGCAAACAAATCAAAATAAAAGATATAGAGAAACCACCTTTATCAACTTGTTTCAGTTATTGCTTGCAAAAAAGAACAAAGGGAATTATGAGCCTTAATCAAAAACCATCATCAGATCCTTTTAAAACAGAAAAAGGATGACGGTGACAAGTCCCTTACAGAGAAAAAATCAATACAAACATCAGAGAGGGGTTTGAAAACAAAAGAAACAGTCAAAGCCAAGTTTTTCTAACACAAGGCTATTGGGCAGCCACTGGGACATCAAGAAGGTCCAATGTTTCGCGTTAAGGAGTAAACCCCCCGCCGTCCCCAGTTGCTTACATAGTCAAGGACACATTAAACAGCACAATTCAACATTCATCTCCCCACACCAAATAAAAACCCATAATCAAAACACAAAAAGGTTATTACCTTGCTGTTTGACTGACTCTGAATTACACTTTGAAGAAGAGGAGGACCTGGGGAGAGGACAAAAAGGGAAAAAATTTCACGTGGGGATGAATGGATTTGGTAGATCTGTGGATCAATCAAATCAAGGAAGCTGTTTTCCTTGCTCTAAACTAGTGAAGATATAAGATGATGAAACAACCGAAGAAGATGTGAAATGAAGAAACTTTAGAAAGCAGGAATTGGAATTAGCTCCCAAAGTTTGAAACTTTCTCTCTCTCCATCTATCTATTTCACCTTTCTCTTTGGTTTTCTCTCTCTAATTCTTAGCAAGGAAGACCCATTAAAGACCAACAACGGAGAACTTGAAGCCAGCAAAGCAGAGGTCCAGTTTTGGGCTCCACACCACTATGGTTTGTGGAGAGAGAAAAAACTAGAAAGAGAAGTTTCAGAGCAGAGAGTCAAATGAAATGCAGTTTATGGGCAATGATATCGGGCATCATGATGTGAAGCCCGTTTCATGGAGTATGCTTTATGTATGTACAAGCGGGGCAGGAAATGTCCTGCCACGTAGCTGATGACAATTGGTTTGTTGTTTAATGTTACGCGTGTTAGTTTCTGGTAGGGTAGCATGATATCATGGTGCCCCTAGCGGTAATAATAGGAATGATTACTGTTTGAGACGCTATCACAGATGGTGCATCGTGGACCAATAGGAATGTCCATAAAATTGCAAGCAGGGGTAATTTCGTCAAACTACGATGATTTGGAATGACGTGGACGATTTCTATTTTTTTTTTTTTTTTCAACAAATATGATTTTTTTTAAGAAAAATAATTTTTGCATAATTTTTTTTAAATTTTTTTATATAATTTGATGTGTCATTAAAATAATTAATTTTTTTAATTCATATAAAATTTATGATATCAAATATATCAATTCATTTAATAATATATAAAAATTATTTTAAAAAATAATATAAAATAATTATTTTTATACTACCACTTGTAGTACGACTTATTTTAACAGTATAATTTAAAATAGGGGAATGAAGAATTTTAAGATGGTGATGTCATGACTCAAATCTTAACACTATTAAGGTATGAGATGCATTTAATAACTTACTTATAAGCACAGCTTCTATTGTGCACCTAATCTAAGCTACTTTAATTAACTTCTAGAAATCGAAAGTTTAGTTAAATAATTTATTATGATCTATGAAGATAGGCCTCTTGTTCTTTTCATTACAAGAAAAATGATTTTTAGTGATAGAAATTTGTGACGAATTTTAAAATCATCACTATAATTTATCACAATTGTGACAGATCTAAAAAATTAGTCATAGATGCATACATATTTAATGATGAACAAAAAAATTCATCATAAAAAATATATTTTGTCACCAAAAAAATGTTCATAGAGATAAAATAAGCTTTTGTCGATAAAAAATCATCACTATAACTTATCACAATTGTGACAGATCTAAAAAATTAGTCATAGATGCATACATATTTAATGATGAACAAAAAAATTCATTATAAAAAATATATTTTGTCATCGAAAAATGTTCATAGAGATAAAATAAGCTTTTGTCGATAAAAAATCATCACTATAATGCATTACAATTATGACAAAATTCTAATATTGGTTACATATACCTTACACATTCAATGATGATCAAATAATTTATCATTAAAAAATATATTTCGTTACTAAAAATTGTCAATTTTCTCTGATCAATGCATCCCACGTTGATAAAAAACACATAAGAGAATAAGGTTTTGTACTATAAATATATTCCACATCGATAAGAAATATTTAAAAAAAAATTTGCACTATAAAACATGTGAAACTCAATAAAACATGAGATTAGTTTGGGCCTGATTAATTTTAATCGGGCTTGATTAATTTTAATCGGGTTTGACTTGATTAATTTTAATCGA